GACTTCCTGTTCAGTGTGTGCATGTCTCGCTGTTGCACGTGGCTGTGACTTCCTGTTCAGTGTGTGCATGTCTCGCTGTTGCACGTGGCTGTGACTTCCTGTTCAGTGTGTGCATGTCTCGCTGTTGCACGTGGCTGTGACTTCCTGTTCAGTTTGTGTGCTCTCTTTTCCTTAGAGTCCTGACATAGCCCGGGTGCTACAGGGTGGCTGCCATGGTTTCTCCAAGAAGTTCATGCACTGGCAGGAGGAGCTCATCCTGGGTGGGAGGGCCAAGGATTCTCACAATGCACTTCTGAGGTAAAAGAAATGTCGAAGAGCCTTGGCTGATTGGTGCCTTTTAGTAACTCCACCCATCTCAGAGTGTGATCAGTTTCCACTTGTGACTCCTATATAAGATGGGCTTATTAAGCATCTCAAAGTATCAGAACTGAAAGTGGAGACATGATATGAAATATGTCTCATCTGAATTGTCTAAAAATATTAGCAGTTACATTCTGCAGTGGAATCGCAGCTCTGTGCTTTCTTAAGTAATTTGGATTCTTGATTTCATGTATAACTGTGGAATAGAGGGAGGCTGGGACTTCAGCCAGATGTTGATCCTCGCAAATCTCAGTGGAAGTGATACAGTCCTTCATAACAGTCAATGAAAAGCCACAAACATTACTTTGCGATATGATTTATTATAAACTCATTCAAGTTTTCCTCCAAGTACTGAAAGGCACCAAGAATCAGTGCCAAGCTCTGAGTGAGTCATATGATACATGCTGTAACCAGAACACCTGCTTCAGCCCACAGACACGTGTGTTACATGCAGCTCACATGTGTCTTCCTGATATAGCGTTCTCAATAATTGATTCATGCAGATATTCTCTTTGTTTTTATAGATTATGAAAAGCATTTCATTCGATAGAGGCTGGGTGCAGAGGCTGGGGGGGAGAGGCTGTGTGCTGAGGCTGTACCAGTGTTTCTGCTCTATCTTCTGCAGTGCTGAAGCCCTTCAGACCATGTACCTCCTGATGAGTCCCAGGCAGCTCTACGAGCACTTTAAAGATGACTACGAGATCCATGACATCAACTGGAATGAGGAGAAAGCCACTGCCATTTTGGAGTCCTGGCAGAGGAAGTTTGTGGAGGTAAAAGCACACCATGGCTCTGAGGGGCATGGAGCCAGCTCAGCAAGGCCGGGGCGGGACAGTGGCCTGTGGATCGGACTTCTGTCTGAATTCCATCAGTCCTCAGCTGCCTTGTAAACAGAGTGTGCTGAGAAGGCCACAGGCAGAGCACGGTTATAAGAACAAGCTGTTTCTGTGATAGCTGACACCCGGCCTGCTGACTGGAGGAGAGAAGCTTAGGCCTCCAGCAAAGGCCCTCTCCAAAGGGGTGGGGGCGGGGCTGTGCAATAACAAAATGTGGAGGGGGGTTCATTCTCCTAAGGGTGTTGGCCATTCAGGGTGCTGACAGAGTGGCTTGGGAGACCATGTGATCTCATTTGATCCTCCTGCCCTTTGACCTTTACCATCTGTGGTCATTATTTTTCAGTTGTCAGGCTTCATGCAGCCACCTTTGAGTGTTCATGTGCCAAAAATATACACCTAAGTCAGGGAGAATGTAGCAAATGATGCAGAACTTTTCAGCAAAGTTGCTTAAGGTCACACTGTCTAAAGGCTGCCTGTACGAGCTGGTCAGTCCTCAGCTTGACAGGATCATGCCAACAGCTCATTTTGGCTCTTCCTCAGGTGGTCCACCAGAGCATTTCTCCAAATTCCTCACAGAGCATCCATGCCTTCTCCACCACTACCCTCAACGACATTATGAAGTCTTTCTCGGATGTCAGCGTGATCAGAGTGGCGGGCGGTTATCTGCTCATGGTGAGGAACTCCGTGGATTAACCAACTTAAGGTGGTCTGCTGTTCCTGTATATCTCCATACATGGCCTGGATCAGGCTCTGCTCATGCTCCCTCTGCCCTGTCTGCAGCTGGCATATGCCTGTGTGACCATGCTACGCTGGGACTGTGCCAAGTCCCAGGGCGCGGTGGGTCTGGCAGGCGTCCTGCTGGTGGCGCTCTCTGTGGCTGCTGGCCTGGGCTTGTGCTCTCTGCTGGGCCTCTCCTTCAATGCCGCCACCACTCAGGTAGAGCAGGAACAGCCAGCATCTGGCACTTTTCCTGAGGCTCCTCTCCTGTGACGGCCCCTGATGCTCACACTGACATTCCTTTCCAGGTGCTTCCCTTCCTGGCCTTGGGGATTGGGGTGGATGACATGTTCCTGCTGGCTCATTCCTTCACAGAAACCGGCTCCAACATCCCTTTCAAGGTAAGTTATAGTGTGCTATAGGTAGCTCCTGCTCGGCTGCATGTGGCTCTGCACACTAAACCCACTTAGCTATATAAAGTCTGCCTATGTACATATTTAATTCCAGTGATGGACACAGCTAACCAAAAATTAGCTTTGATAACAACCAATCTGCAAATTCCACAGTTTAATTTGATAAACCACTGAAAATTTAGCGGAATAATAACCTAATAATAACCACTAACTATTAAATTCTAATATATGAATTTAGCTTTGGTTTGGTTTTCGGCTCTAAAACCCTTAAAAATATACATAGAGAGCTAAGTCGTAATGTGTTTAACACTAGTCTCATTTTTCAGGGGATATTTAGGACTTAACCTAATTGGTTGGATTTTGTCTCTGGAATAAATCTGCATTGAAATTTTTGTTTCTATGATATTCCGCTTGTGAGATATATGCATTTTTGTCGGATAAGCCCTGTTTCGCAACTGGCTCATGTTGATATTTTGCCCTCAGTAAAGCCACTTGGGAACTACAAATATGGCGCCGTTCACCCAGAACTAGGAAGGAGGTTTTCAGCTCTTTATTGGTCTATAGCTTTGCCAATAACAACCTGGAAAATACAACCAGTGGCCTGTATCATGAAGCAGGATTTGTTGCTGAGGTGGATAATTTGTCAGATTTAAGGTAGTCTGAAAATAAAGTCCATATATAGTAAGTTACCTTAAATCTGGCAAGTTACCAGCTAAGCAAAAATGCTTTGTGTCATTGGCCCTTGTTTTCTGCTTAGTTCAGAGTACCCCAGTTTAAATGGACTGTCTTCATTCACTGACATTTAGCCCAGACTACCTTAAATCCGAAAAGTTATTGACCAATCACATCTTGTGTTTACTTAAAGGCAGCCAACAGTGTGCCAGATAGACTGTTGCAAACATGCTCACAATGGATGGGAACAAATATGTATAATTTTAGGGTTTACAAACGTTTTTGACTGCTTGAACTTTATTTACTTTACCTGTGGAAAAAATGTTAGTGGATTTACAATTGGTGGAACTAAATATAGTGGATGCTGATTGGTATGCTGACAGTTTTCAAAGTTAGCAGAAACACTAATCTAATGAAAGCATTAGCCTCACTCGTTAGCGGTTAGCAGAGTAGCGAAACCCTGCTCAGCACTGTTTAATTCTCACTATATTTTATTATTATCACATTACTGAGATCTATGCTGCTATAACTAGTCCTGAACCTTTGTCTGAGGCATTGGTGTAAATTCCCAGTTGCCCATGCTGGAATCCTGCTGCCCTCATGGCTTCTTCTGAAAGATTGTCCCCCCTGTATCCTGAGCACGGCTTCATTCATATTTCTCCATCCCCAGGAAAGAACAGGTGACTGCCTAAGGAGGACCGGGACCAGCGTGGCTCTCACTTCCATCAACAACATGATTGCCTTCTTCATGGCCGCCCTGGTTCCCATCCCGGCTCTCCGGGCGTTCTCCCTGCAGGTATGCCGGACATTGTTCTCTGCAGTCTGCAGCTGGTGCTAGTGAGGGAAGAAAATAATCCTGCGATATCTAAATGCTAAGCGCTAAATGAAGAGCATGAACACCCCTGTGAGCCCAGGTCAGGCTGGCAGCCCCGCATGACTCCAGTTCTGTGTATGAATCCTGCAGGCAGCCATTGTGGTGGTTTTCAACTTCGCTATGGTGCTGCTCATCTTCCCTGCCATCCTGAGTTTAGACCTTCATCGGAGGCAAGACAAGAGGCTCGACGTGCTCTTCTGTTTCTACAGGTACCAGCGACACGAGGAAAGCACTGGTCAGGACCACACAGCCAGGCTTTGGCTCAAGGGTCATAGAGCCCCACTGATGTGTTTCTTGCATGCTCAGATACATACCTGTACTCGTATAACCCATTTACATCTTCCCGATTCTTCCCTTGGCAGCCCCTGCTCCTCACGGGTCATCCAGATCCAGCCACATGAGTTCTCAGATGCCAGTGAAGGCCAGCATTTCCCATCCCCCTCACCGTCATACAATGGCCCCACCATCTCCACCAGCACCCAGATCACCACTACCGTGCAGGCCTTCACCCAGTGCGATGCGGCTGGTCAGCACATCGTCACAATCTTGCCACCCACCTCCCAGATCTCCACCAGCCCTCCCTCTGTTCTGCTGCCTTCACCTCCCCACGATGCCTATGACTCACAGCTCTTCACAGCTTCCAGTTCTACACGGGATCTCCTAGCCCAGGTGGACGACGCACAGGAAGCTCGCAAGTGCGTACCGCTGCCGTTCTTTCGCTGGAACTTGTCAGACTTTGCCCGTGATAAGTATGCCCCGCTGCTGCTGAAGACAGAGACCAAGGCTGTGGTGGTGGTTCTCTTTGTGGCCTTGCTGGGCTTGAGCCTCTACGGGACCACCATGGTCCATGATGGCCTGTACCTCACCGACATTGTTCCCCGTGACACCAAGGAGTATGACTTCATCTCTGCGCAGTTCCATTACTTCTCCTTCTACAACATCTACCTAGTTACCATGGGTGGCTTTGACTATGCTCGCTCCCAGCGTCGCCTGCTACAGCTGCACAATGCGTTCAGCTCCGTCAAACACGTGGTCAGGACCGACCGGCAGAAGCTGCCTCAGATGTGGCTGCACTATTTCCAGGATTGGCTGAGAGGTGAGCAGCTTTGGGAGATCATGCAGCTGGTATTCGCAATTTGCAAGAGGTTTTCAATAAGTCTAATGCAGGTGATTTTGTCACACGATCGCTGGTGGTGGGGCGGGACAGTGGCACAGTGATTAGCACTTGGTTAGTTCTAGGATCAGGGTTTGTGTCCGGGCTCCAGGTGTTTGCATTCTAACAACATGCTGAGGTGAATTGGAGTTACTAAATTACCTGTAGGCGTTCATCTGTGTGAATGGTGTCTGTGTAAGTGGTGTGTGAGTGAATGGTGTGTGTGTGTGTGCGTGCGCCCTGCACTGGGTTTGTGCCCCATCCTGGGTTGTTCCCTGCCTTGCGACCACAGTCTCTGTAATAGATTCCAGACCCCCCACAACCCTGAATGGGAAAAGCAGACAGGATGGATGGATGATGGATGGATGGATGGATGGGGATCACTGGTTGTAAGTTCAACGTGGCTGTAAAGCCCCCAGCTTTACACGGGGCCCTGATGATCTGGCACTCTGTCACCTTCTCATCATTGATGAGAAGACTGTCAAATTGCATGAGAGGAAGGGCAGCAATGAAGTCCTGAGGAAAGGCCAGAGTGATTCTGCAAGTGAAGGGGCAGCTGGCATAACTTCAAAGGCACGAGTGCCCCCAGCCACCCAAAGTTATTTCATGTTGTAAGTCCTGGGATCCCTATAATTATGGAATGGCAATGGAGACGGATTTTGAGTCTTTGCTAGACTTTGTAATTTACAGAAAAAAACGTTTCTGGTTTGTTTTTGCAGCCCACATTCATATCCCGAGCTGGAATGTGTGTGTGTGTGTGTGTGTGTGTGTTGGTGGGGGGGACGACGACGGAGGTATATACAGTTTGATGTCAGAGCTCTGTTTGAAATTAGAGCTTTCTGGGCACACTGCAGACTGCTGGCTATCAATTCCCATCTGAGGAATGGCTGTGTGATGGCTCTCCGCACCGAGGCCCACGTGCCTGAATGTGGCAGACTGACAGTACCCTGTCCTCTTCCCAGGACTGCAGGCCGCCTTCGATGCTGACTGGGCTGCTGGCCGCATCACCTCAGACAGTTACCGCAATGGCACAGAGGATGGCGTTCTGGCTTATAAGCTTCTCATCCAGACTGGAGCCAAGAAGGAGCCTTTCAACTACAGCCAGGTGTGCAGTTTACCCCTTGACCCTATTTCGCTCCCTCCCTGCCTGTTTGCCCCACACCTGCTCCTTCCCCGCCCGTCTGCCCCACACCCGCTCCCTCCCCGCCCGTCTGCCCCACACCCGCTCCCTCCCCGCCCGTCTGCCCCACACCCGCTCCCTCCCCGCCCGTCTGCCCCACACCCGCTCCCTCCCTGCTCATCTGCCGCACGCCCGCTGCCTCCCTGCCCGTCTGACCCACGCCTACTCCCTCCTTTCCTGGCCAGCTGACCACCCGATGCCTGCTAGATGAGGAGGGCTTGGTGCACCCAGATGTTTTCTACATCTACCTGACGGTGTGGGTTAGCAATGACCCCCTGGGTTACGCTGCCTCCCAGGCCAACTTCTACCCCCATCCCCGCGAATGGATCCATGACAAGTACGACACGACAGGCGAGAATCTGAGGAGTAAGTCAGCCACTTGTGATTTCATATGTGCTATAATTTCTGTATTTATCAACTGGAGGGTGGTGCTATTTAAGTAAAGCAGATGGATGGTCCAGTTTAAGCACCTGGATCCTCAGCATCCTGACCTTTGACCTTTCCCCTTGCAGTCCCGGCTGCAGAACCCCTGGAATTTGCACAGTTTCCCTTTTACCTGAATGGCCTGCGGCAGACGTCGGACTTCATCGAGGCCATCGAGAGTGTGCGCTCCATCTGCGATGAATTCACAATCCAGGGTATCCCCAGCTACCCCAGTGGGCACCCCTTCCTTTTTTGGGAACAGTACATTGGCCTGCGGCATTGGTTTCTGCTGGCCGTCAGTGTGCTGCTTGCCTGCACCTTCCTGGTCTGCGCCATTCTGCTGCTGAACCCCTGGACCGCAGGCATCATCGTGAGTGTGCTCTGCATGAACTCATCTACACACACACACACACACACACGGCTCAGTGAGCTAGCCGTGGAGGGCCTCTCTCAGGGGGGCTATGTTGGGACGCCCTCCTTCTCTCTTTGTCATTTTAATCCAAGTTGCCACAGTTTCAAAAAGTAAATGCAAAACAGAGGCTGGGCCTGGACCTAGACCTGCCTCTGCCACCAGCCCCGGCCCAGCGGAACTGTCCATCAGAGCAGAGTGGGGAGGGCTGGGGGGGCAGAACCAGCCTGAATTTGGTTCCAGCGTTCATCCAGATACAGGAGCTGGAGTAGAAGTAGTATGAAACGGACAGGAGGCCACTGGGGCCCCTGATGCGGCGCTTCCTCTCCTGGCCTGTAGGGGCCAGTAATGAAGCATCTTTTCCACTAATATGACAGTGAGTCTGTGCTCACACACAGCTGCTAACCCTGTGCCTGACACCTACACAGCTTTTAGGCAATAGAATGGAATTCCTACATACTGGCCCTCCTAAGCTCTCCGTCTCCCTCAGGTCTTCATCCTGGCCATGATGACGGTTGAGCTCTTTGGCATTATGGGTCTAATTGGCATCAAACTGAGCGCTATCCCCGTGGTCATCCTCATCGCCTCTGTGGGCATCGGTGTGGAGTTCACTGTCCATGTGTCACTGGTAAGACCCCCGTCCCTGTCCCTATCCCTGTTCCCGTCCCCGCACGTCTTTCACCTGGGCAACCATGTTGGACTTTAGATCATATTTTCTCGCTTTCACTGACATGCTCCCCCCCTGCAGGGCTTCCTGACCGCCATCGGCAGCCGCAGCCTACGCTCTGCTGTCGCCCTTGAGCACATGTTTGCCCCCGTCATGGATGGTGCCATCTCCACACTGCTGGGTGTGCTCATGCTGGCCGGCTCTGAGTTTGACTTCATCATAAGGTGAGCAACTGCAGGGCCTGACCTTTCTGATCTCATCTGCATGTCTGCAGCAGCTGCGGGGTCTGACCTTCCTGAGCCCGTCTGCATGTCTGCATCAGCTGCAGGCCTTTCCTTTTGTGAGCACGTCTCATGTCTGCAGTTCCTCATCCCAGTCTGGTGTACCAGTGAATGGCAGAGCACCCCCTTGCAATCACACAGACAGACACTATCAGAGAGAGAATGAACACTGAAACAATACATTTATTTTACGGCCAAAGACTTAGGGAAAGAGGAGCAGGATGAAGGCAGGGAGAGGGCTGAGCCTCAGCGGGGGAGGGGCCTTGAAGGTGGCCCTCCATGGCGCCCTCACGCTGGGAGGTCCTGTTTAGATGGAAGCTGCTGTAAACATCTCCTCGCTGTGGCACGTTGGATAAACAGCTGAACAAGCTCAGTGGCCCATCTCCGCAAGGAGAGTCTGATTCCAAATGGAAAAGATTACAGTTTGTATAAACAACAGAATTGCTGACACCCGGCCCTTTGGAGGTCCCATCCTGTCGGGCCCAACACAGAGGCAGCATTTTTACTCCCAAAATAAATCTCTCTCTACTTTCCAAATGTTGGCTTAGTAAAATAAACAAGAGACTATTTTCATTTTTCACGTAAGCTGAATAGAAGTCCTCTCTATCTAAATAAAAGCAAATAGAAGTTGGAAAACCAGCAGTTTTAATCTGTTTTTCCATTTCTTTACAGCTTAATTTGATCTAAATCTTAGTACAAAAGAGCTGTGAGCAAGCCCGGCCTGGTCTTGCACTCTGATGGTTTTGGTACATAAGTGAGCAGAATGGAATCCTGCTGTAGGAGATGCTCTCTGCCGTAGGAGATGCTCTCTGCCGTAGGAGATGGTCTGCTGTAGGAGATGGTCTCTGCCGTACGAGATGCTCTCTGCCGTAGGAGATGCTCTCTGCCGTAGGAGATGGTCTGCTGTAGGAGATGGTCTCTGCCGTAGGAGATGGTCTCTGCCGTAGGAGATGCTCTCTGCCGTAGGAGATGCTCTCTGCTGTAGAGGCTGCACAGTCCCATTAAAAAGTATGTGCTGGTGACTATGAGCTTTGCTTTATGAGCCAGGCAGACATGTAGGACGTGCAGGCCTGAGTGCAGCACAGGCGGCCGCCAGAGATCCTCAAAGCAAAGATTCTCTTATTTTTAACTAAGAAATGCTGCGGATTTCACTTATGCCAGTATGGCGCATACTGCCCTCATGGGTTGGAGCCTCAAGCAGAATGGTGGGACTTTAGGCGGCAGAGTGCTGCATTAATTTTCCTCTCTCGTCAGGGGAGTCTTTCCTGTGTGGGATCTGCTCTCTAATGTAAACTCATATTTTCTGGAAATGGAGGCACTCTGGTGATCCCAGGTTCCCTGAAGAGCCACAACTGATGGATTTCTCCGGAGAGAAAGAGAGAGAGGGTTAGAAGGAGGGAGAGTGGGATGACCTGCACCGCGGGTGTTTGCCGTTAGTATGTCATGAACACCCTGCTCAAAGCACCTTTCTTTCCACTTCGTTCTGCAGGTACTTCTTTGCCGTGCTGGCTATCCTGACACTGTTGGGTGTTCTCAATGGCCTTGTTCTTCTGCCCGTCCTGCTGTCGCTCATTGGGCCACCTGCCGAGGTCACCCCATTTCCGGAGTCCTTGTCCCCTACAAGCCACCCACCTCATGGCCCGCCCCGCCGGGCCTTCTGCGAGTCCTCGGATTCCGAGTACTACTCCGAGTACTACTCGGAGAGCAGCTGCACCTGCGATGAGGAACATAAGCAGTGTGCTCACGGTGCCTACAACACGCCAACGGCTCCGGGACCCTCCCACATCCTGCTGGAGGCCAGCAGGAACCCCAGCTTTCCCAAACTCACGGTACATCTCTCTCTCTACCTTTCACTGGCTGCTAAAAACAGCACATAGAGGGAAAGCGCCATAGAAGCTGTACTATCTGTCTGTAACCAATCTCCACCCATTCTTTCTTCATAGGTAGTGAAACCATTTAGCCATAGGTCAGATTCTACCAACCAGAAGAGACTAAACGGGCCGGCTCCACCCACCATCATGTCAGTCAGTTCCCAGATCGCCAGACAGGAGAGCAAACAGCATCACCAACGGGATGCATCCCCCAGGGGGCAGCATTTAGTCAGCAACAGGGTGCCACTTTCGGGGAGGACTCAACGCTGTGGGCCACAAGCGGAGCAGTTACCTAACAGAACTATGACGCCTGCCTGCCATGCTGGACGGCCTCAGGCTCCCAGGAACACTGTGACGATGGTGACGGCCACCGCGTCTGTGACGGTGTCTGTGCACCCAAATGTGCTGGGGCCCTACAGCAGCTACGTGCCCGAGGCCTTTGAAGACAGCGAGATGCACTTAGGTGAGGGCATCTCACAGACTTCCAGGATGGCTGCTGAAGCCTCCCAGGTGGAATCCTTGGAGCTGCAGGACCTGGAGTGTGAAGTGAGGCACGAGCACAGGGCTGCGAAGAAGCACTAGGGGGTCTGGGCCCTTTCTCTGCATCTCTGCAGCTGGAGGACCTCCATGTGACCTGCATGTGCTACACTGCCCCCTGCCTGCAGGCAGTGCCTCACAGCAGGGATGCTATTGTGATGGCTGCACGCCAGCTGGACTCCTCTGCTTGGGCTGGTCAGTGTGAACCACTCTTTGGGGATCCGCATGCACCTGCCTGGGACACCACCATGATCTGTACAGACTATAAAGCAGACCTTGTGAAAACAGGAGGATTTATTTTGGGAAAAAAAAGTATTAAAAGTTCTCATTCTGCAAATATATAAGTGTACGAATATATATATATATATATATATATATATATATATATATATATATATGTATATCAATACTAAATAACAGGGAAGAGCTATTTAAAAGTGTAAAAACTGTATAACTGGTGCATTCTGTTATATAAAAGTCAGATAATGTGTGAAGTTGAGGCCGTTTCCTCCCTTTTCTAGATGGAAAAATGTGTTATATGTAAAAAAAAGAAACAAAAACTGGTATAATGGTAATAGTTTATTAGAAAAAAGGTCAGTGTTTCGCTGCTACTGTTTATAAGACAAGAACTGAAAAGTTTTGCCTTGAAAAAATGAGGTACTCCGTACCACCGCAGGAGCAGAGATGTAACCTTCCCACCGATGCTCATACCACAGAGCAAAAAGTCGTCTCTATGTGTGTGAAGATGCTCTTATTCACAGGCGCTTCCATGAGCTCCCTCCTGGGCGCTTTGTGCCGAGCTCGCTGACGCGTTTGGTCACTACTGAACACGCTCTGTGCTCACAGCCAGCTGGCCCTTCCGCTGTGCACTCTGTGTTCAGGGTCGGCCTGCATTACTTGAAGAAGCCGTAAGGTGACGTTTTCCACTTTCCTTCATTTAAGTTACACTTTGAGTGAGGTAACAGTTGGTCAACTGTGACTTGTAAGGGGTTTTTCCCGTAAGGGGTTTCACCCGACTTTATTTTCAAAGGGAATTTTGGAGCTTCTGCTGTTCTAGCTGGTCGCTCTGGGGAGGCAGAAATAACTTCTGCAGATCTGCAAAGCTATAAGAAGGTAGATGATTGTTAACGAGACCAGAGCCCATTCAGCCAGTGCTTCCATGCCTGGGCTGACCTTTCACGGCACACCTAGTGCAAGCCAGTATTTGTCTTCTCTCATTCTCTCATGCCTTAAGGAAAATGCTTCAGTATTGGTCACAACACTGCCAGTGTAAGTGCAGGGAAGCCTACATGATTGAAACTGCAGCTCATTCTGTCCGAAAGCGGGCAAGTGACATGTTACAGGACAGGAATGGTGTGTTGGGGGGGAGGGGGGGAGAACTGCATTACGTTGTAGTTTTATTTCAAATGTTTGTCATGCCATATAAATTATTTATATCAAATTTTTATTTTTGTAGTTTGTACAGTTGTAGCCACCAAACTGAAGTTTTATTTTTAAAGAGTATAAATATATATATATATATATACATATATATAAATATAATATCTAATTATATGTTATTTGTTGTTGATTTTAACGAGGGGTGGGCTGGGATGGTCATCAGGTTCCCCTCGTTTCAGAGCAAAACCACACAACTGGAGGGGTGTGGCCCTAACGCATCTCCCTCGCCATGCACCTCGCCGCTCCATCCTTGGCTGAAACACTGTGACAGTTCTGTTCCAGAAAAATCCTTCTGTGACTCACTGTTCTTCATTCATAGGAATTGAACTAACAAAATAAAGTGAATGAAAAACACACAAATATGGTTTTATCTCTGTTTTTTATACATGGACCTCAACACTACTCCATTCAATATAATTCTGAATTGATTTTTAAAAAGCTAATTAAATGTTTTAAGCAATGAGAAGCACTGTACAGGTTAGGACAGGAGCAGCAGAGGTGATCTGGAGGATGGGGGCGGGGCCTGGTCTCCCAACCCCCCCAGAGGGCCTCCTTCTGCCAGCAAGCATCCTAATCCATTGAATTTAAGCACAGCTACAACTTCTTCACTTGCTTCATCATCATCATCATCTCTTGGAAGTCAGACCACATGGCATTGAGCTTATAGTTAAGGGCCCTGCTCAAGGAGCCACAGACATGTAACCGTTCCACAAGGGCTGGGACTCGAACCAGGGACCTCCTGTTCACAAGCCCACTGAGCCACTCACCACCAATGTACGTGAAGTCAGGATCCTAGAGCAGAACTGGTCAGCAGTCAATCTGGAAATAAATGAGCTACATTTAACAAACAAACATGTTTTATTTGCACATGTACAGGTTTTTTTTTTACTCATTTTTGACTGACTGCTGACCAGTTCTGCTCCAGGATCCTACCACAACTGATGTGGCTGGAGAGTGTCTCAGTGGGCTAAGTCTCTGTGCTTGTAAGCAGGAAGTTGCTGGTTTGAGCCCCAGTGGAATGGTTACATGTCTGTGGGCCCTCGAGCAAGGCCTTTAACTTCAAACCATGTGGTCTGACTTCCAAGGTATAGAGATTATTGTGTTACATTTACGGAAACATCAGGCTAAAACACTTGACTTAAATACTGTTTTCCTAACTTTGTAAGAATGTAACAAACACACACACATATATGTATATGCTGTATTATTAATTATTAACAATCAGACAGTTAATGGTTACATTTAATCATTAATCCAGATACATTTAGAATCTGGGCTTATTCTACGTTGATGGTGCCTGTGTGTGTTTGTGGGCGTTGGAGTTGTTGGGACCAGTTCTATTACAGTCAACTAAGACCGACACTACATAAAAGAGAATAATTTGTGAACTGAAATAAAAAAGAAAAGTATATTTACAAAAAAAATAATGTGTCAGACTTTAATCAGCAAAGACTACCCCAGCAACGTCTTTTTACTTAATTTGACCACAATATCTCCTCTTTCGAAAGGTGCTGTGGCTGTTGAGCTCCTTTCACTGTCACTTCAGTGCTTATCGCTTCCATGATTTACCAAAACAGTAGCACTAGCCAAATTTAATAAAGATATGCCGAATTTGCTAACTTTTGGATATCACAATACGCATCTCATTAATATTTTAGGCGTATTACTAATCTGCTTATCGCATTGTGGGTGAAAATAACATTCGTAGTGCCGAAAAGCCGGCAGCCTTTATCTAAAGCCCTGCAACACCATACAGTTTGTTGTTGTCAAAATAAAATGAACATATTAAATGGTCAATTAGATTTTCTGGAGGAAAATTAATCATTTAGATTAATCGACCATTTGGTAAAATAGTCGACAGATTAATCCATAGAGAAATAGTCGTTAGTGGCAGCCCTAGTTTGAATATCGGCTAAAACGTGACAGCTGCGAAGTGTTGTGAAGAAGGTAAGAAGGTGATGTTTTTGTGAATTTGGTGCAAATGATGATTCTGTTCTAAGCCTGGAGTTTGCACTAATGCATTAGAGTGGTTTGGTAATGAACACCACAGTCTGGCTTATGAGGCAGCCCTGCAAACACTGGTACAGTAGCACGGTGTCTTCGCCCTGCTATGCAGACCATACCAGCTCAAGCCCAGCCCCTATGTCCTAGTGCAGGGGTGGCCAATCTTATCCGCAAAGGGCCGGTGTGTGTGCGGGTTTTCGCTGCAACTCCCTATTTAGATTACTAATTAGAGGACTGATTGGCCGAGGAGTCCTCACACCTGAGCTTGAACAGCTGACCTACAGGTTTTCCCAAAAACCTGCATACACACCGGCCCTTTGCGGATAAGATTGGCCACCCCTGTCCTAGTGTAAACATAGTTCTGGGGTGTAGTCAGAACATGCTGTCTATGGTGCATGCATCCTCTGAACAAATTAGACAGAGGAAGGAAAATAACTTCCTGTGGACGTCAATGGCATATGCGCAGAGCAAAGTAATTAGATGGAGGAAGTGATGTTTGCAGGGCGCATTCATCTCTCATCTTGGCACTGAAGGCCACAGCAGCCCTCTGACAAATTAGGCTGGGGGGAGGTTCCACAAGCCGGCCTCATACCCTATTCTAGAAAGTTCACCAATTTTGACCAATATGTATAACATTTATAAAAGAATGAAAAGAGCACGGAAGCAATATGCAATGCAGTAATGTGAGGGAGGAGTGTGAGCTGCCATGAGGGATGGACAAAGTAGCCAGCGGCAGATGGTCCCCAAGGACGGGAACCATGTGTGGGTGAGATAACAGCAGACATCAAGGACGACAGGCTGCTCAGTCTAGGTGCTGAAGTGAGGACAAATAAGCTCTTTAAACTCTTTAAAAAGAAGAGGAGGGGAGAAAAAGGCCCACCCACAGGCTCCAGGGGGCGTCTCTCCGGGGTGGCCAGTGCGTCATGAGCCATTGTGCTGCAAATTCAATAGAGCCGATCAGCAAATGTGCGGCTGAACACCAAAATACTGACTACTGTTGTATCCTGTGCCATACACAGCCGTGCCCCCAAAATACTCATATTAACAATTCTGGGCTCGGTATCTTTTAACAGTAACTAAGCTGAGAGTGGCAGGATTTTTATATTCCAAGGAGCATTTTTAAGCAATTCCTTCTTTTCTGTTGTTCCATGAAAATAATCAGTCCCACCAGAGACAATTCAGCTCAAAACTGACTCCTCAGTTCATAAAGTGAGGAAGTTTGAACATTATAAAACCTGCCAACTTACCTCACTGACACCAGAGGAAATAAAAATAATCGTGTGATCAGTGGGGCTTCTCTACACAGGAGATTCATGGCTATAATCAATAAAGTATTTATCTGGATTAATCTGACTGAAAGAGCAAATTCTTTGTGAATAGTAGTGAGATGCAGCTGCAGTTGCCACACTCAGTCGATCCAATTGGTGTGCTGAACCCCGTCAACACAGGGAGAGGGAGTCAGTATTTATAACATACACTCAAACTAACAAATATGTTCACATTTTATAAGAACATAGGAACAATATAGATTTTCAGACCGGCCCGGTGCAGTGTAAACATGTTTTAAATAAACAGGAACCAGGCTTAATGCCCTTTTAATTGATTCATTCTGCCCTGCAATGTTTACGGAAGGCTCTAAATATGAGCTTGTAATGCAAACCCTGTGTTTTGAAGCGGTTTGTTTAGTTGAAAGAATAACAGTTTGAAAGCAGCCAGTATTCAAGGGTCCTTATGATTCTCTGGGGTTCCTTTTGGGGACACACAACAGAGCTAGTTCTGGATTGAACTGGGCAGACCCAAAAGGTGATGCATGCAGACTGTGTCTGATATGGAAATGCACTGAAGATTCGTAGCAGACTACGGCTGGGCCATGTAGAGTGGCAGAACCAGCTTATGGGAAAGCACAAAGCAAATGCCTTTTCAGTTTTCTGGCAATGAGCTCTGCTTTTCAGAATGCATTTCTGCAGTAATTTCATGCATCTATCCACTGGAGGGAGCAAGAGAGGCAAACAGCGAGCGCGCAGGGAATAGAAAGTGGAAGGGCCACTGAAACTGATGATACATTGGCTCTCACACACAATGAAGAGCAGCAAAAGAAAACTGAAATACTCTAATTCACACGCAGCCATCTCAGAGCAGCAATCTAAACTTAAAAACACAGACACTCTCTGAAAGACTTATTAACTTATAGCCTGCGCTAAACAAGTTAATGCGTCTAAGCTGAGAGTGGCAGTCACTGTAGCCTATAGATTTGCCACAGAGGCACAGGCGTCAGGTCGTTCATCCTTACCGGCATGTAGAGGAGACTTTCTGTCCTCTGTTCTCCAGCTCCTCCACCAGTTCGCTTCAGGGCTGCCAGCTCCGGCCAGCGTGAGGTTTACATGCATGTCACAGCTTCATTAACTTCGAAAATATTCTTTTGGGTTTGCAAACTACTTTTTGATGTAGCTCATTTTAGGTTTATAGCGGAGTAATATAGACTTGACGTAAGATTTCTTGTGTGCGCGTGAGAATCAGAAAGCGCGCGTGTCACGCCAGATGCGTTAGAGTTGGCAACCCTGCAGTCGTTGGCTACAGCAGGATCGGGGCGCTCTTCGAGGGAATCTGGAAAAGGTGGGAATAACATATAGAGCGAAGATGGTGGGGAAATTCTGTAAGCAAACCAAAAACAAAGGTGGTGGGGAAAAAAAGAAAATGAACGTGGTGAAAAAATGTGGCAAGGAAAAGCATACCTCTTTCAAATGTAAAGTTTGAACTGAAAGTACTGATTTGGGCGTGCAATTATACTGCCCCCTTGAGGTGTCGATGTGCATCAGAAATCAATTGAAATGTTGCGTGTGTGCAATAATAATAATAAAATAATAATGATAATAATAATAACAATAATAATAATTCAACTATATCACTCCCATGAACTTTAGGAATGCAAATAAACAGGAAAATCAGAAAACTAATCTAGAAATCACATTGTAACAAATTTTTTTGTATAGTGTTGGCGGTTCTTGTGGGCTGTTTCCCTTTAGTTGCCGTAGGACAGGTGAGCTTTGCCCATGTTTTAGGGGGAAAAAAGGAAAGAGGGGGGCTGAAAACATGGCAGTCTGGCCCAGGTTAATTTCAGTGTTTCCTTACAGTGGCATACCTGCATAAATATGTGTGCCATAGCTTAAAAATTCTGTTCATATTTTATTTCGTATTTTCAAAATGTCTCAAATAAAAACATGTACAGCTGCGAACACTCCGCTATAAGGAAGCTGGAAGTAACTTAAGCCGTGAAATAAGACGCTGCGAATAAGAAGCTAAACGAATCGGAAGCTGCAGATAAATAGCTAACTTAAGCCGCGTGTGACTTTGCCATTAGTTTGGGCGACAAGGTTGACCACGGCCAAGAAACACGAAGACAACGGGATCGGCCAAGGCAGTGAGAAGCGCAGCAGTGATCCGCAGCTCCGCCCACCGCCCCGCACCGATTAGCGTATATTTGCATGTAGTGAACTTAAACATACAAAGGCAAAGTAGGAAATGAAAAGTCAAATTGGAAAATGAAAAGACAAAAAGGGTTTTTAATTTTATTTTTAAAATTTTCCACATCTGACTCATGCATGAGTGGGAAATTAAAATGCAAATGGTGCTAGTTCACTTAAATTTTTGCAGGATTTTTGCGCATAGACTTGGGAAACTAAATGGCAAAGTAGATATTGTATTTTCTTTTTATCATTTTCATTTGATTTATTTGCAGAAAATACCTCCCACAGATGAGAGTGGCGGCATCTTTATTAACATTAGCTTAGCTTACGAGTTAGTTAGAAATCGCTTCGCGCAACATTTGGCTCGGTGACGAAGATCAACTAAAGTGCGTCCGTAGAGAGACAGGTTGATCTACCGACAGTGAACATGAGGACCGACCTGCCTGCGCCCTTTATTGGTGACGGGAGCCAGAGTTTCTTCTGCTGGACGAGGCAACTGGAAGCGGCTGTGAAGGCATTCATCATTATGATGAATTAGTGAGGATTCTCCAGAGTCACTGAGCGGGGAAGCTTTTCTGCTATGGGACAGTCTGCCCGATACCGGCGCAATCTGAATACGCGGCGGGTAAATAGAAGCTTAAGGAGGCTTTCGACCAAAAATCGTGTACGGAGCGCTTCAGAGCTTCTCTTGCTGCCCGATCGCATTTTCCCGGTGTGAGCTGGGATGTATATGCTGCCGATATTAGTCGGTTGGTGCAGGAGGCTTTTCCGGATTATGTAAGTGTGGCGCAGCGGGAGGAGAAGTTTAGGCGCCTTCTCGCTGGGCTGGACCCCGTTTTAAAGACAAAGTGCCTCGAGCAGGGAGGTACAGATTTGGAGGAGGCTCTGCTGATAGCGGGACGTTGTGAAAATGCACGAGAGGCCCTGAAGATGGACTATGTGAGTGCACCTCCTAGCAGCCATCGTATCAATGATGGTGATGCCTTGCACTCTGTGTCAGTCGATGAAGGTCTTAAAGAAGAAGTTGATAAACTTACTGATGTTTCATTAGGATGAAAATGAAAGCGATGTTTGCTGAGAATTGCAATCTGAGAACTGCAGTGGGGGGGGTCAAGAGAGTTCCCTCTATTCCATGGGGGCCATCAAAGCTGTACCTGTGCTGAGCCTGAACGTTGAACAAGGGGGTCACCATAGACGGGGCAGATGCTCTCCTGCTTGAGATTCCAAGTTGACTGATAAGGTGGCCCGTGGCAGGAATGCTGATCCTAGCACTGTGGGGGGGTGCAGCCCTGACCAAGCTGGCATTCTCCAGGAGAGGGATGAGCAGGGTAAGCAAGCTGTCTGATTTCTGTCACCACGCCATGTTAATGACAGCAGTCGACAGAGAAATGGGGTGGAGCTGGTGCAGAGGCCCAGACATCAGCTCACCTTCATATGGGCCACGATCCTGGACACTCCTGCTGGGGGATGTGAAACAGACACTCATAGATGGGAGCAGCAAGCGTCATGCATGAAAGGAATTCTGAAAGGCATTGAAGCAACTATCCTGGTGGCTTGTGCGTCTTTAATTAGTGCCAATTTTCGCATGTCAGATTGTGTGCTTTGGAGTCGCCCCCTGACTAAAAGCTACATTAACTCCCATGCCGCAAATGGACAAATGGACACTCTGGCTACCATTAATGCAGCATTTCGCCTAGGCACTGCCTCCTGGCAACATAATTATTTTCTATGTCTTAAAAAAGAATCAAGGCTGTGCATCTTGGGCTAGATTTCCTCAATAGGATCCATATCAAACTAATAGAGAGGTTGTGTACAGGGTTATGGTTAGGAATGTTAAACGTTTTTAAAAAGGATTTCTAAGTACATGCTTTATTTATATTTGTGATTCCGCAGGGCACACTCACAAACCGATGGGCAATTTGGAAACTTCAATTAACATCAGCATGTTTTTAGACTGTGAGGGAAACCAGAGTACCTGGAGGAAACCCCACGATGACAGAGACAACATGCAAACTCCACACATGGAACCCAGGTCCCAGAGGTGTGAGGCAACAGTGCTAACCACTGCACCGCCATGCCTCCCAGTTCAATTTATATTTGTGGCATTTTTGATTTACGTTATAAAAACCGCTTGTGTTTCACTGTCCACGGTTAATGAGAACGATATAAAGTAATACATCTCGTTTGTAAATTTCTTATGTAATTACATACTGCTATGCCCCCCTCAGTTTTACACTGGTCTCATAAACAACCTAGACAGAGACGGGAAAAGCAAAAATCCATCAAAAAGTGGAAGTTTTTCATCCCTACAGGAAGCAGTAAAATAGCAGCAGGGTCAGCTGATGTGCTCGCCGACTCCAGAGATAAAGGCTCAGCCAACACGGGGCTTCAAACAGGGAGCCACACTAGCGACAGAAACCTGTACAACATGCCTGAAAGTCACTAAGCACTTTAGTTTGCACCAAAGATGTTCATGAGTCACAAAATTCAAGTCTGAAATCTCTGACAAAGTCTGAGCCAAGTCTCCATTGTGGTTCCAATTTGTCATCACTATTTATCAAGATTTCTATGCGACTGACCATTTGAATCCCCACTTGAACAGTTCAGAAACTGCACGTGTCATAGTTCCTTAGGCTTATATACATTTTCAAAGAGATCGGTATTTTAAATGCCTTTGAAACAATACAAGTTTTAGAAACAGCTAAGCACATTTTAAATGTAGATTTTAAAGCTAATACTTTTAAAATACGTTTTTGGGATATACCTGCCAAATGATCAGATTGCCATAAATCTATGTCGATTTGTGTCACTGTACACCACCACAATGTTAGCTATGAATAATTTACGACAGAGCGCCTATTTCTAAGCGGTGCCATCTAATGTAAAATAACACTGGGAATAAAATTCGGAATACAGCGTGCTTTTTCAGATCGGGTCTGCAATCGGAACTAGTGGCAAAACAGAAAAAGCATGTTTGTTGATATCACCTGGCATGACGCTTCTCCGGCCCGTTTGTATGCCCTGTGCACAGCCACACATCGTGATGTTTAACACCTTTTACGGTTTGAGTTGTACACTCAGTGCTTCGCATGTGTAAAAATTGCAAAATTCATTAGAGACTGTTATTGTTCACAAGTTGCTATGAACAAGTAGGAGTTGAATCAGTGTCAAAAAAATAAGTTGGAAGTCAAGTCAGTGATCAATTTAAGAGTTGGAGTCCGAGTCGCAAACTACAGTCCCCCTCTCTGGTTTGCACTCATCATACTTAGATAAGCTGGTCAGAAACCACCCCTGACTTATGGTACTTGCCAAGTGCTTAAAATTTCCAGCAGAACTTATCTGCAGTTCTGCAAGACAAGCAATCTTCCTGCTACCAGATCAAACTGGAACAACTAAAACACAAGCATAAGATCAAGTTTAACACCCAGGCTATCGAGAGACAAAACACAAGCGCTTTATAAATGCAAATCTGCTGCTACAGTATTGGCAGATTAAATGTCACCACAAATGCCACAGAGAAGCATACCATCCATCAGAAGGTCTGGAAACTGCTTTAATAAATGAATGAGAAGTACAAGCTTAAACATGAGTAAGTGAAGTGACCCTGTTTTTGTGTAGTTTATGTAATTACACATACAGTAATGTTTCATCTCTATCCTGCAGTCTGGCATTAGGAGCAGTGGGAAACAGAACATTCCCCGGGGGGGGGGGGGGGGGGGTCTGAGCTGCTCACCACCCACCGTGCTGGGCCAGGCACCTCTCGTTAGAAACAGCCAGAGCACTGGGCTGCGCTCACGGGCGGGGGCCACCCACTGGCTGTTTATTTTTCATCCTTTGGGAAAAGCATTTCTGTTCAGGCTGTTTATTAGGGTTTGATTGGTCATGCGCCTGCTTCTTGTTGCCTGCTATGCATACACAGCGGTCGGGGGGGGGGGGGAGGCATCCCACAGGGCAGGGGCATGACCACATACAGACACGTGTACCACAGCGAGGTGTGTGAGACAACACACAAAACACAGAGCTCTGTGAGACAAACGGCAGATGCAAGTAGAAAACCTTTATTTTACATTAATTTAAAGTTCAAATTCTCTTAAATGTTTAAGGACAGAAAGCTGATCCCATGTACATGTGGGGGAAAAAAATAATCAAAATGAGTCAGAGGAGGACACAAGCAGCCAGTGACCCTTTCAGGGAGATGTGGATGTGGCGGGCAATAGCTCCCATGGCCTACAGGGCAGCCGCGTTGTGGCTCAGCCGGGCCAGCCTCTCTCGCTCCAAAGCAGACTGCAGCAGCGGCACCAGTTCTGTTCAAATGAGGGAGAAATCACTCAGTTTATGGATAGGCCAACAGGCAACCCAGCATTCCCAGAACTAGCAGAATGGACCAAGGCTGAGAAAGGCAAGATCAGTCTGAATCCCCACGTCGGTTTAACCCCAAAACCACACTACCTTGTAACCTTTTTCCATGGTCTACAATCTCTGCCAAACCAGCCACTTGGTCAGAAGACGGCTCCTCCAAAATCTTCACGATTTCAGAACAACTGTCATACACCTTTTCCTTCAGTGAGGCCAGGGATATCGCTTCAAGGCTGTCAGCCATATTACAGGAGGAGTTCTGAAGCAGACAGAAAATGATGATAAAGAGCCATTGCTACATCTGCCAGCTACTCTTAAGGCAACAGCACCCCCTATTGGCAACAGGGCTATGACTGCCTAAACGACACCCATAAGGAGGTACAGAGCAGGCACACTGCACAGAATGCCTCTGCATCTGGCCCAGTTCACTGGCAGGTTCCAGCCAGGCAGTCAGCACCCACTACGGAGGGCTAGGAGTTCACGGGCGGCAGGAGCATGGGGGGGGGCAGACAGGCTCAACGAAAGCTACACTGCAGTGGCATGGAGATGTGCTCTGCCTCATGCACACGGTGGCCCCACCTCAGACAGGATGGAGTCCTCCACGGCCTCCATCATCTCTCTCTCAGAATCCAAGGTACCATTGAGCTCCTTCACCCTGCCAGGGTCACAGATGGCATTCAAAGGAGGTGTAAAGCTGCTAGTCTTGGTATGCATCTCATACAACAGAAAACATTAAAGTATATGAGGACCCGTTAAACCATGAAACACGGTACGGGCTGTGCTGAAGTGAAAGTGCAAGGCTGCCATACATTGTTAGAAAATCAGGTGAGACACCCTACTGGTACTAATACCACATGTAATGCAGCGTGGTTAGGATGACAGAAAGAATCCTGAACAGAAACCAAACCATTTCCCCATGCTGCATGGGATGGCCACCAGGGGGCACCAAACCCCAGGAGGATGGATGCTTACTGTAATGAAGAAATTTTAAGCCAGCATGTCATACATGAAAGGTACCTGTCTGCATAACGCAGTGTGTTTAGCGTGTAGTCACAGGACACCATCCCAGGGGAAATCATGGCAATCTGAAAGACGCCACCACAATCTATCAGGACAGCAAACAGAACAAACTGCACCGTACCACGGAACAGAATCTTTGGAACTCACCATGCAGGTCTTTGAGTTCTCGCCGATGAAGGAGTCGCGGAGCACCTGTGTGAGCGTGCTCATCCTGAAGGGAATGTGCTTGCTGTTCTGGCCCAGTGACCGTATGCACTCCTGACAAAAAGGGCAAGGAGGCTGAAGTCACTCCTCAGCCAGTTAGCGACATCACAGACAAGGACCAATATCAGTCAAACGTCAAGCCGAAACAATGTGAACATGGAGGACTGCCACTGCTGATGAGCATGAAAGGGGGGCAACTCAATGCATCTGCTGTCAGACGGGAGCAAACCTTCAAGGCCAGGAGGCTGCAGTTGATCTCAGCAGTCTCCCCCAGGGTCTGCCGGTTGCTGCTGCTCATATCAGTACCTCGCTCGTTACCTGCCAGATCCACCAGGGAGAACTTCCCATGCAGCCTGTTCTTACATCGCAGGATGATCTGCAGCACCGCATGGGAGCGCGAGGAGTTGGAATTGGCAAAGGTCTGCCCAGATGTCCTGCAGCAGAGGTGGTGCACTCAGAAGCGGACACTGACTACAGATGTGGAAGTGCCAGACTGACTACTACCCATGTAGGTTTTAAGGAGCACTGCAGATCAAATCTACTCAAGTCATGAAGTGTGCATAGATACTACCAGTGTTAAATTGTCAATAAAAATTGACGCAAGTACTCATTGGCCTTCTTATTTTTACATGCCTAAAATTGTAACGACAACGTAAATTAAAAGATGGTTGACAACAAAAATTATGGCAAAATGTTTGCTTGTTATGCTCTGATGAGTGAAGACAAGACAAAATTGCTGGCTCTGTTTGGGCAAACAACCTAGATCACAGCAGCTCTCCCAAAGCATTGGTTGTCCTTCTTAGCCATTTAGCCAGTCATTTACATACACGTAAATCTGCAAGTGCATGTACCAGTTCAGTATCCATGCATCTTTCTCCTTGGATGCTTTGTTTTTCCCGCTTGGTGCATGTCTGCACAAATGCCAACTTCCAGTATAACTAATGCTAAAGTTCACACTACACGGTTTTAGCCCCAATTTTCCATTTGCCGACAGTAAATGGAAATTGGTGACAAAACCCCCAGATCTGAGGCAGCCGTAGTCTGCGTCATATGAGTGGCACACGCCCTCGCATACAGACGCCACAGCGTGGTCTGTATGTCCGACCCCTGCAAGCAGAAGCAGTCTTAAGGCTGCCCCAAGTACTTGAGGGCAGTAGCTCCACCCCCTGCATACCTGCATGCACTGCCCACATCAATCATCTTGATGACATCATTAGCACATGAAATGGGCATTTCCTGCAGGCCAACCACCTGCACTTGCTGCTGACCATCTTCCAGGACCCTCAGCTTTGCCTTTTTGTTGAGCAAATCAAAAACCTGCAATTTCGCCAAACCAAAAAGGTAGTA